TTGACGAATTATGAGTGACAGAATATTACAGAAATCATCCCCTTCAAAATAAAATAAAAAAGTTGGAGCTGTTTTTATTTTGTTTGACAGCTATTAAATGTATCTTATTAAAATATTGGAGATATTGTTTCAAATTTTAAAATAATTGTTTATAAGTATTATTTCATTTTTTTATTCATAAAATAATAATATTTATTTCGTCTTAAAATAGCTGATTGACACATAATTTTAAACATATTTAATTATTACAATTTAAATAACTAAATGACACTTTTATCATTGACTAGTTGTGTACCCGTGCAATGCGGCGAGAGCTATGAATTTTAACGACTTTGAAGTTCCACTGGTTTTATAAGATAAGATTTAACGATGATATAAGTTACACTTGGTCTTTACATATTAATATAATTTGAATAAATAAGAGTTATGGTTCCAATTACAGATTATCGATAAAAAAAACTGTATGACTTTTTAAAATCCAATATATTTAAAATTCAACATATTTAAACGACTCCACAAATGTGTTCGATTTACACCAAGAGCAAAGAACCAATAAACTTGAGTTTTAAGATAAACACTCAAAATCAATAAAGAAAACTACAAATTTGACAGATCATAAGTCATGAAAAGACTAAAAAAGATTGGTTTTAGAATGAAATTTCAACTGCTTACATGTATATATATATTTCAAAAAAACCCAAGAACATATTAATTCATAACATATTATACAGTGCAATTTAGACAACCAAACCCCAAAATATATAGTATATATATAAATAAATAATTATAAAAGTATAAATTGTAAATATTAAAAATATTTTTCACAGTATATATAATATATAATAATATAATTAAGTAAAAAACTATTCAATATTGGACTCATTTCGAAGGTATTAACGAGACGATTATAATGGTGTAACTTGTTAAAATGAAAATGTATTTTTTAAACATGTTTTAATTGATATACGATTATGTATGTTAATTTGATAAATGTTTAAAATGAAACATTTAAAAGTAAATGACGTAAARTAAATWAATTAAYTAATTAYAGGGGTATRAAGTGTAAATTTAAAATTATAATTTAAAAAAATCGGTTGTTAGAGGATGAGTGTATGTGAGGAGATGAATGAGTGAAAAAGTAGTATTAAGGGTATATTGGTCATTTAGTATTTTAAGATTTTAAGACTTTTACTAAATTTGCTTAATAAAATAGTATAGATAATAGACATAAAAAGCCTAAACTGAATAATTGATCGTAAATAATGAGGTTTTTTGCTTATTAAATAAATGTTTAAAATATCTAAAACAATTCATTGTTATGAATCACCATGTGTATTTATAAAACTTTCATATCATTTTAAAAGTTAATAGTTTTTTAAAGTGATGATTAGAGATATATAAAGAACATGAGTAAAGACTGGATATTAAAATTACAGGTTAATTCTTAATTGATTTTGAAGCTGAAAAAACGGGCCTAAATCAGTATTTCAGGCTTTGGTTAAGATTTGACCTATCATTTTCCATTTTTCATGTTATTTTAAATTTAACATCGATAAAAAATCTATATAATTAATTATACTATTTAAATTAATGGATAATATTATAACCTTAAAATATAAGAACATAAAATTCTATATTTAAAAAAACTTAATATGCCAAAAAATCAATAATTAAACACATTGAAAATTATGATTGATATAAAGTTATAATTTGATTGGATTTTCGAGCGTTGTTTCGTCATCTGACCGCATTTTATTCGGTCCAAATGAGAGCCGATCTCAATCGGGGTTTTCTTTCCTTTCAAAAGATGATGATTGATTGGTACTGGTCTTGGGCCTCGTCTTCATCTTAATCGATCATTTTTAGGGGGTCCTTGGTACCGTAGAGATGGCCAAATGGGCCCGGCTCGGGACCGACTTGTGACTAGCCCGGTCCAATACCGATTGGGACCAGTTACACTGTTCATCAAAAATCAAGGTCTGATCCGAACTGGCCTGATTTTTTTTAAAAATGTTACATTTTTTTATAACCGTTGGAATGGTCATATGATTTTTTTTCTTCATTTCTTGACCTTTTTAGTGTCTAAAGGTGTAAGGGGGAAGATACCAACTTAGAAATGCAAAAAAAAAAAAAAATCACAATTCTCACTATAATTCATGATTTCGGCTCATGTTCGGTTTCCATTTTTAACAAATTATAAAAAAGTATATTTTTAAGTGCATTTTATTTACCTAATTACATATTTTAAAGTGTAGTATAATAATATTTTTTCTTTAAAAAATTCAAAAAAAAAATTGCATTTTAAAGCTAAGTTTAATAAAATATTTTTGAATGGCAATTTAATTATTAAAATACACAAAAAAAAACATTACTTAGCTAAGGTAAATGGCAATTTAATAATTAAAATACAAAAAAAAAAACGAATTGTTTTTAAAAATAACAAGTTTTATTTTAATGTATCATAACAACTTAGTCTTTTGAATAATTCAATATTTTTAATTAATTAACATAAAAATTAATTTTTTAAATAATTTCTATTTATCAAAGTTTATTATTAAAAGGGAGTAGGATTCACCTTTTTATAAAATATTTTTTTCTCAAAGTGCTAAAAAACAATTATTTAATATTTAATATTGTTGATAAATCCTTATCATTTATTGTTTAGAAGTACACACCCTACATCGTAGGGTATACAAACTGATATTATTAAGGTCCCGTTTGATTTAAAGGAATGAAATGAATTTTTAGGGGATTTTTATATTTATAATCATGTTTGATTTATTGGATTGTCCGGAATTAAAATCCTATGATTTAATTGAAATTCTTTAAACATAGGATTTTGAAATCATTAGTGAGTCCTCGGGATTTCGTAGGATTGTATACAATAAGGTTTTAAAAAATGTTAAAAACATATGTTTTGTAATAATCGATTAATAAAAATGTAATTCAATTATTTTATAATTATTTATATTTCCAAATCCTACAAACCAAACACATCAATGATTTCAAATTCATTCTAATCCAAATCACTTAAAAACAATCCTGCAAACCAAGTAGACCATGGTTTTTGGTAAAATTGTTCATTAATTGAAAATCCAATTAATTTATGTAAAACCAATTCGATATAATCATCAATTGAAATCGGATTTCGTCAATTGGTCCAATTCGATCAAATGATTACTAGATCACATCGGATCCATATAAAAATATCCAACAAATTGGTAAAGTATTTCGATCAGCTTTTCATATATTTTCCTATTTTTCTTAAAAACGCTACGTATAAGTATCAAAGAGAAATGACAAATTAAGTGCAAGGAGGAGCCGAGTGTCGATCATGGTTTGTTGGGGTGGTTGCGTAGACTGTAGAGAAGGTGACGAGGAGGAAAAGGGAAATCGTAGAATTAGAACAAGGGTTTTGAAGGTTTTGATGTTTGATGTTTTTATTTTTTAACAATATTAAATTAAATATTATCCATTATATGTGGACTGAATCGGTTCAATTTTAATTGATTCTGCCATCAAATAACCTACCGAACCAATTGAAATATCGGTTTTTGGGATCCGATACGATCCATTTACAACTGGATATTCAATTTTGGTTGTTGGTTTTAAATGCTTTAGTCGACATAATTGGATCAAATCATATTTTGCATACCTAACACTAAAAACTTATAAATATAAATCAAACTTTTTAATTCTAATTAGTATATATATATATATATATATATGTGTGTGTGTGTGTATATATACTGTGGCACATTGGCACGGGTCACCGTTTTCATGACTCCATTGTATATAAGAAAAAAATTTACGTTTTTGAAGGATGTTACCGTATCGTTTTGTTGGAAGTCCTTATATTTCTTAAAACTACAATAATAACATAAGTTTCTCTTGACAGATTCAATTTACGCTCTACTTTTCCCATTTTATAGTCAGATGCCTAAAACCCATGTATGATGTATATCAATGTTTTAGTTTTATCAATTAAGTTCAATTAATTATGTTTTCTAAAAAGATGTGAATAAAAAAGCTATATTATTATCCCAAATATCACTGCATCCGCTATATCCACGTCCGCAATATTGCGGACCTGGCTAAAAGACAAAAAATATTCAAATTCCTCTAGGTTAGGAAGTTGCGCCGTCGAAATTGCGGACTTGGATTGAATCTGATAACTTTTTTCTGTTTTTTAGACAAGTTCGCAATATTGTGGACGTAGTGGCATTTGGATAAACTCGGAAGAAGAATGAATGGGTAACCAATTTAAATGAGTGGAATGGCTATTTGAGTCAACTTTCCTTTTTAAAAACGTCTGAATTTGGTCATTTCCTCTGACAACGTTTAAAAAATTCGGTTAAAGGGGAGTTTTAATCTCTTGATTGATTTTTTGGACTCTAGGCGTTGTTTGACAGTTACTGAATGATTTGGTGTAGAATGATTAAGCGATCAGAATGATTAAGAGGCTTCATGATATAGTTCAAAATGAAATATAATTGTTTGGTAACTGTTTACAAATGAAATTAGGGTGCTGAATGGTAAATGGATGCTTAGGATACAAAATCATTCAGAGGCTTTTGGAACCATTAAGAGTCAGACTTTTTTTTTTTTTGCGAAACAAGATTCACCTCTTAACGATTCAGAGTCTGCCTCTTAATGGAACTATTAAGAGGTAAACAAACAACCCCGTAATTCAATCAAAATCAATTCTGTGATTTTGGTTCCTATGGTTTTTGATTGGATAAAAGATAAAAAAAAATGACGAATATACACCTTCATTAACCGAATTTCTTTTAACGACCGTTAGGTAAAGAGATCAAATTCGAACGTTTTTACAAACCATAACGACCTTTTTGTAATTTCAAAACTGTAAAAATAAAAAAAAATTATTTGGATCAAAACATTATTTTATTATTAAAAATGATGGAATAATAAATATCTAAAGTTGAATAAGGGATTTGAAGATGAGTTTTGAGAGTGGGGCTCCATCATGAATAACTTACGATGATGGATGACATCAAAAGATTGTTTAATTGCCAAATTTGCTGCTTTTTATTTGTTTTCATTGTTAAATCTTCTTTAAAGGCGACAAAGAGGTTGTGAATAGAGGCATGTGGGCTTTCTTCTGTTGTTTACCCTCATTCTATATCATCAAATTTCATTTTTTGAACTTCAAATTTGGTGTTTTCAATTATAGCATTATATAAAATATAATATCCTTGTGTACATAATTGTATGTAATCTCAGTTTTTCCCCCTTAAGAGTAATTGAAAGGAGATAAATGTGCGAGCTTTGATTCCTTTTTTGTCATATAGTCTCCGAGGGTTTGCTAACTTTTGGGAAGAAGGGTTGAAATGGAAGGGGGTTCCAGCAGCAAGTTCAAGAGGGTATGTGTTTTCTGTGGAAGTCACCCTGGTCGCCGAGAAGTCTTCAGTGTTGCTGCTACTGAATTGGGAGATGAAATGGTTGATTGGTTTTCTTTTATTTTCTTGTTGTGATTGGTGCTTTTGGCCGACTTTTTGAATTTGATATATGACTGTTCTTGATGGTGCACCATCTGTTTGATAAAAAGACTCTTAGAATTTTGTGTGGGTGTTTAAGGTTTTTCATCATGAAGCCTTGATTTTCAGATTGAATGTTGTGATTATTTTTTAATCTTTTTTGTAGTTGGTGGTTATTTGAATTGGATATGTGATTGTTCTTGGTGGTGCACCATCTGTTTGATAAAAAGACTCTTAGAATGTGTTTTTTGTTGTGAAATTGGTGTTTGAGTTTCTCATCATGAAGCCTTTGCTTTTCAGATTGAATGTAGCGATTACTTTGTTTCTTTTTGTAAATTACTGGTGATTTGAATTGGATATGTGATTGTTCTTGGTGGTGCACCATCTGTTTGATAAAAAGACTCTTAGAACTTGGTTTCTTGTCATGAAACTGGTGTTTGATTTTTGGGTAATTATACCTTGTTTTCTGATTGAATCCTGTGATTATTTTGTAATTACAGGTGAATAGGAAGATAGACTTGGTTTATGGTGGTGGAAGTGTTGGTTTAATGGGTATGATATCTCAGAGAGTTTTTGATGGAGGCTGCTATGTTCTTGGGTAATACACACACATAAATCCCTATTCTGTGTGTAAATTTTACTACTCGAAGATGGTCATCAATCTATTCGTGGCTTAAACAAAATTGCTGTTGTTTACTCACTTGCAGGGTCATTCCCAAAGCTCTTGTACCTCTTGAGGTATTTCCCCTTTAAATTTAAATCTTGTTTGTAGTTATCTATGTATCCTTTTGAGACACAATGGTTCAGTTTATTAGTTAGATTGTGGTTTATGAACATAAAAAAGAAAAGTTACCAAAGGGCCTTTGGCCTAGCGGTATCGTAGCCCTTGGCCTTTTAAGAGGTCGGGGTTCAAACCTCACCATAGGTGAGGAGGGTGTGTGAGTTTATTTGTTGCATTTGCCGTATATAAATATTATATACTTTAAAAAAAAAAAAAGTTTCTTGAAGTTCCCATAGGTTCTTATCCAGCTCTTCCTTATTTGGCCTCTTAATTATGATTTGAAGAGGTCAAGTTGACTCTTCTTCAGGTGATAAATTAATTGCTTATAAATACTTGATGCCAAGTCAATTTGAAAAATCAATCAAGCATAATATTACAACAATTCAATGTCTAAATTGTAGTCTTAGAACTGCTCTTATCGTTCATTGCTACACCTACAACCTCACCAACTAAAATCACCATCTTTTTGGTGACTAATCCCATAAGACCCTGAAGGTAACAGGCGGGAAAATCGATAGTGACCCATGGCCTAACCTTTATTTTCCGGTTGAGCCGACCCTTTATTATTTTGATAGTTCTGTGCTAGCACAATCATTGGCCCTTATGTTGGTGTAGCCTGTTATCTAGCTGTTCGTTGAAATCTGGGATGATCGAAGAAAGAAGTGTTTTTTTCTTTCATGTTTTGGTTCTGATAGATTTCTGGTGAAACCGTTGGAGAGGTACGAATCGTTTCCGATATGCATGAAAGAAAAGCCGAAATGGCTCGAGAAGCTGATGCTTTTATTGCACTTCCAGGTATCTTTCGAATTGCGTCCAAGCTTCTTGATTTTTTACATGAAAATTGTATCAATGGTGTCGGTATTATTAGGAGGTTATGGAACTATGGAGGAAGTATTAGAGATGATCACATGGTCGCAGCTCGGAATTCATAAAAAACCCGTGAGTTTTCTTTTTTAGTGTTTTGAGATCTTTGGGCACGGGATTGCTTCCATTACACTTACATTTGTCTTCCTAGGTTGGTTTTCTAAATGTCGATGGGTATTACAACAATTTGCTCGCATTATTTGATAATGGAGTTGAGGAAGGTTTCATCAACCCGGGTGCTAGGCACATTGTTTTATCGGCTTCAAATGCAGTCGATTTGTTGACAAAGATGGAGGTATGGACCTGTTCTACTAGGTTTATTTTAATTAAAGAAATACTACATGTGAAATGGAAAACCAGAGCTTCATGGATATTGGAGTCCCGCATTGGCCAGACACAAACCATCAAAACCTATATATATCGAGGGACCTACCCTCTCTCTACAAGTCTTTTCGAGAGAATTCAAAGGGATTCCGCATATCCTAGCATGGTATCAGAGATGGGGTCTAGCACCACCAAGGGACTCGATACACTCTTTCACCTCCATTCTTGGGGGAATAGTCTAGCCTATTGGCCCCGGGGGGAGGGGTGTCGTTGTCACACATTGGGTAGATAGACACTTGTTTTCTTGAAGGTCACGGGAAAGGCTTTTGTATATGTTAGAGTCACGCATCAGCCAGACTTTGGATCATTTATCCAATATATATGTCGGAACCTCCTTTCTCTCATGAAGGGATCTTTTAGGGATTAATCTAATGGAGGTTTCCATATGGTCTCACATGGTATGATGGTATTTAAAGCCAAGTTTTATCATTATAGGGATCGACACTCTAGGGCAATCTGTACTCGTCTAGCCCCCTCTAGACACTTCGAGACAATATGTCTCCCTCTAGTCACCATTGGAATGGGCCTGTTAGAGTCCTACGTCAGTTAGACTTGGTCCAGTTCTCCTGTATATATATTGGAATCTTCATTCTTGAAGGACTCTTGTGGAGAGTAATCTGATGGGGGTTTCACATATTCTCACAGTATATTCTCGTCCCTTCATATATTGAATTTATTTTCATGGGCGCAGCAATACACGCCTGCGCATGATCATGTTGCACCTCACGAGAGTTGGCAGACGGAGCAACTGGGGAACTATCCAAGCAACGAACATGATTCAAACTGATTTTGTCCCCAACAATAGGTACCAATCTCGCATTGATTCCTCAAATTTGCATTTGAAGATTGAATTTGTGTGCTGGAAATCCGTGTTGCTTAGCGGGTTCAGCTCTATGTGCTCTTTTCCGTCTAGTGTGGGTTTGATTGTGATCGAAAGGATCAACTACCGTATGATTCATTGTTATCTCTGCTGTTTTCTCTTTTGAGACAGCCAAAAACGCATGAAAAGAAAAAAACGGTCCATTAGTCTCCAATTCTTGGTGAACAAATTTCATCGAGAAATCGGATATTGTGCGATTTAGTGACTCAAATATCAATGAATTTGTTGTGTTCGTATAATAATTGTGAATTCTCTTCTTTCTTTACTCTATATTTGTTTCTTCCATTATTCTCTGTGCATAAGCACTTGGTTTGATTAGTAGATGAACCATATGATGTGTTAGAGGGCGCATGCTTCGATGGCTCCGAGGGCCCTTGTCTCTTGTCTATCTAATGATTCCCCGATGAGTGTTATTTGACCACTGGTATGGCTTATTGACTGATACTGTTCAAGTGGTTGAGACTTTCTCATGATAACTTAAAGGTCATGAGTTTAAATCTGATCCTATTATAAAGGGTTTGTGTGGAGTAATGGTACGAATTTAGTTCCTTGTGCCACAGAATCCAATATAATGTCAAACACGATGCCGAGGGTGAATTTCCAAACTAGCACAAATCTTGCATCAATAGCTTGTACATAGTGCATAAACACTTGTACATTGCCTTTGTGCACATAGAGAGCCATAGTATGTGTAAAAATGAGGAACACAAATTGACCTTTTGAAAATAGCCCTCATGCCATTAGAAAAGGGAAAGAATAAATTAAAGACAATCAAACATCCAAATCCCTTTTTATACTTTTTCACACGATCATTCACCTTTACTCTAATATCTATACTTTTAAGAGGGACGTGTACGATTTAACTTGTATGGTTTTAATCATGAATCGTGGATTATGTCAATTAATTCGAGTTGACAATTTTTAAATTGGATCGACATTCGGACCTACTTTTAAGTTTTAAAATCAAGAGCTGTTATATACACCACATTTTATATCATGTCAGATCAAATCATACATTAAATATATAAAAAGTATGTATTAATATTGATCGCCTTACAAATTACTTTGGAAACTTGATAACTTTTAAATTCGTAACAATCATTAAAAAGTTAAAAAAGAAAAGAAGAAGACTAGAGGGTTGTTTGTTAAACACGTGTTGGATAAGCCTTTTTCGATATCATTTACCTTAACTATTGAGAATTATAAAGGATCAAGATTAAGAATCTTAACCTGAATATCCAACCCACTATACGAACCGATTGATCTCAAGACGACCACCTACTTTACAGATAGCTCGAAGTCATCGCATTTGATTTAATCTTCAAAGAGAGTAGATGTTATACGAAGCTATCCGATCCTACCGGATCCAATTGATTATATTTCTGATTGACCCAATCCGATTCTATTGGAAGCAGCCCAAACCCACTCTATAATCTTCAAACTCATCAAAACATGGTAGGAAAACATGAGGCAGTTTACTCATCATAAATGACTAGGTGTGTACCCGTGCAATGCGACGGGATCCATGAATTTTAACGATTTTGAAGTTCCACTGGTTTTATAAGATAAGATTTAACGATGATATAGGTTACACTTGGTCTTTACATATTAATCCAATTTGAAAAAAATAAGAGTTATGGTTCCAATTACAGACTATCGATGAAAAAAAATTGTAAGACAGTTTAAAATTCAATATATTTAAAATCCAACATATTTAAACGACTCCACAAATGTGTTCGATTTACACCAAGAGCAAAGAACCAAGAAACTTGAGTTTTAAGATAAACACTCAAAATCAATAAAGAAAACTACAAATTTGACATATCATAAGCCATGAAAAGACAAAAAAAGATGAGTTTTAAAATGAAATTTTAACTGTTTACCCTCTTTCTTGTCCAGAAACTCAGATTAAGGTTGAATTAATACATGTMTATATATATTTCAAAAAAACCCAAGAACATATTAATTCAGAACATATTATACAGTACAATTTGGACAGACTAACCCCAAAATATATAATATATATATATATAAATAAATAACTATAAAAAAAATAAATCGTAAATATTTAAAATATTTTTCCACAGTATATATAATATATGATAATATAATTAAGTCAAAAACTATTCAATATTGGACTCATTTCGAAGGTATTAGCGAGACGATTATAATGGTGTAACTTGTTAAAATAAAAATGTATTTTTTAAACATATTTTAATTGATATACGATTATGTATGTTAATTTGATAAAAGTTTAAAATGAAACATTTAAAAGTAAATGACGTAAAGTAAATTAATTAACTAATTATAAGGGTGCAAAGTATAAATTTAAAATCATAATTTTAAAAAAAGTTGTGAAAGGATGAGTGTATGTGAGGAGAGGAGGTGGTGAAAAAATGAAAAAGTAGTATAAAGGGTATCTTGATCATTTAGTATTTTAAGACTTTAAGACTTTTATAAAATTTGTTTAATAAGATAGTATAGATTATAAGAAAATCCTTAAAATAATCAAAATAGTGGACGGGAGGTGATGATGCAAAAAGATGATTGAAGCAAAAGTCGCCATGGGTCACAAGTATATTGGGAAATCTTGTACTTGAAGAGGTGAATCGATGCCTAATTTGTCCCAACGATTCCAGTATTGTTTTTAGTCAAATTTGGAAAAGCCCAAAGATTCAGTTGCAATCACCTCTTGATTGAAACGAAAACACATACCACACTCTTTCTTCCATGGATGACTTCTTCTTTCACCATTAATCCGCCATATGATCCATCGTTGAGCCTCTTCCACCTCACCCTAGTCTGCCATAACTATCTGAAATCAGCATCATCCTTTTCATTTCTTGATGATTCTCGACTTTCAGTCAATTCAATGAAGTGATTTTAGAACTAAATATGTATTGGGTAAGTTCTCATCGTTGTCTATCTGCTTGTTTTCTTGTCACGATTCGTCTTATCAGTTGATTAAATTTTGCGATTTAATCACCGTCTGGTTCAAAATTAGCCACCAATGCCTGTTTTTAATTTGGGAACTTTTTGCTTTCGCCAGGAATAACACCAGAAAACCTGTTTTTTTTATAAGAATGGGCGATTCCTGATGCTTATTGGTGCTGAATGATTATTGCATCCGAGATTGGAATCTAGGAAAGTTGTTTAAAGAATGAGTAGGTCTAGAAAGTTAGCTAATCGGTGCGGGAAGGATGGTGGTGGTGGGATTGGCGGTAAGACGGTTTCCGATGAGGGGTTAACAGAGATTATGGTAGATACTAAGCTTAGGTCGAAACCCCATCAGTTTTATAGCCGAGTTTTACCCGGGAAGTCAGAAGGAATGCCGATTTCGCCGGTTAAAATGTTGGTGGGTCGAGAAGGTAATTACTCTGGGAGGGGTAGATTCACGAATGCCGATTGTTGTCATGTTTCAAGCAGATATTTGCCGGTTAATGGTCCTTCTGTGATCGATAGGATGACAAGCTGCGCATATGTTTCACAGTTTTCAGCCGATGGCACTCTTTTTGTTGCAGGGTTTCAGGTACCGAATGCAATCCACGGGTTCATTATGTTTAACGCAGCCATGCTGTGTTTTCTTTATCGTATATTAATTAACGATAAGACTTGTTTTCTAAACAGGACAGTCGTATTAAGATATATAATGTCGATCATGGTTGGAAGCTTCAAAAAGACATTCGTGCCAGAAGCTTGCGGTGGACGATAACAGACACGTCTCTTTCACCTGACCAACGTTTCCTGGTAAGCGGCCGCAACCAATTTTTGGCTTCTTAAATTTGATTTACAGTAAGCTGTTTGGTTTTATTTTCAAGAACATCTTTAAAGTTTCAATAAGTCATCGTTTTCATTGTGTTTCTTGTTCTTGCAGGTTTATTCTAGCATGTCCCCTATTGTCCATATTGTGAAGATTGGATCGGATGTGACCGAGTCTGTTGCAAATGTTACGGTACGTATTTGTAGTACCATTATAGATCGGTTTCCTTGTCTCTTAATACGAATCTTGTGGAAGTATGTTTGGTTTTGAGTTTGCGGTCGTGAAGTAATAATAGAATAAGCGGACTTCATATCTTGATAGACCATTTTGGGGTGAAAAGGGTACGCTTTTTACAATCAGCTGCTAGATCTTGTGGGAAACGTGAGGGGGTGTTTGTACATATACTAAAAAGGCGTAGAAAAGTTATCTGAATTGCATTTGTTCATCATGTCGAAGATTTTTAGTTCAGGTACAAGAATTAAGAGTTAGGGGTTGTTTGGTTGGTTTTCCATTACAATTCAGACAGTGAGGTCGCCAGATTTCAAGCTGGGCTGTTCCCAGTTGGCTGCCAGGGAACTGCTCCAGCTGTGTCCGCGGTGTGAGCGGGTCGCCGTGTGCCAGCCGGGGGATGAACTGGGATGAAATGGAAGCCGGGCTACGGTGCCAAACTGCACGCTAACCTAGAACCCTCTTTTATGCTCCTTGACAATTTTGTCGCCTTCACAATCTCTTCCACCAAAATGAATAGTGTTGTTGCGATTTCGTTTTTTTCTTTTTCTTACTACCACTCGTTTTTCCATTGTGGCTGAATTGGAGTGTGTCATTTTTTATGCAGGAGATACACGAGGGGCTTGATTTTTCTGGTGAAGATGATGAAGATGACGATGATTACGCTTTTGGGATTTTCTCTGTAAAATTTTCAACTGATGGGCGAGAACTTGTAGGAGCAAGTAGTGATGATTCGATATATGTTTATGATCTTGCAGCCAACAAGTTAAATGTCCGTATAGCAGCTCACAGGGTAATGATTATAAGCATATCATATAATAACAAAATGCATTCGTTTTGACCCTTTTAGATGGAAAATGTTGTGGATTTGTAACCGAGTATCGATCATACCCTTTTAAGGCTCTACATAGCCGATGGATCGTAGTCCTGGCTGCCAAGATCCGTATCTCCAAGCTGAATTTACTAACCTTGATTTATGTTCTACATTGCAGTCGGATGTTAATGCTGTTTGCTTTGCAGACGAAGCCGGCCATGTCTTGTATTCTGGGAGCGATGATCATCTTTGTAAGTAAGCTCTTGATGATGTTCTCCAAGAGAGTATGAAATGGATTTTATTACTATTACYACGAGTTTAAGTAATTATGTACTTCAGGTATGGGATAGGCGATGCCTTGGTAYAGGCGGAAGAGAATCTGGGATCCTTACTGGACATCTTGAAGGCGTTACGTTCATCGATAGTCATGGAGATGGTCATTATTTGATTTCAAATGGAAAAGATCAG